TGAGCCAGGGAAGGAAGGGTACAGGCCCACCTTGAGCCAAATGGGGCTGTGACCCACAGAGGGAAGGGTGGAGGGTAGCCCACAGCATGGGGGTGGGGAGGGGAGGCAGGGGAGAGGGAGGAAGACTCACCAAGGCATCCTTGGCCCTCCTGAAGGCCTCCATCTCTTGTGGGGGCAGAGACTTGAACTGGGCCATGTCGCAGCCCCTTGCACCCAGGAGGGTGGCGAGGGGCGTGGTGACGGGAACTGCTCCTGTGCTGGTCAGTACCGTGGTCATTAGCATCAGCACCAGCGCACAGCACACAGCCAAGTCTGTGTTGGGGAAGGATGGGCAGATGAGGGGACAGAGTGTCAGGGCTGTGGGTGGGGGCTGTGGCAAGTGAGGGTCGTGGACAATGATGTGGAGTCTCACCCAACTTCATCCTGGTCTCTGGTCTCTGGTCTCTGGTCTCTATTCCAAGTTGAGATTCAAGTGTCCTCTCAGAGTTTGTCACCTGGGTCTCACTCAGCCTTGTGTGGTGTCTCTGGCCTCAGTCTCCTTTTCTGGGTCTCAGCCTGCTGCTCGGTCTGTGTCCTCGAACTTCCAGCTAGGCAGCGATGCAATACCTCACTGAGCTCCATGGTGCAGCTTTTAGCCTGCACAGGCGGGCAATCCCAGCTGATGTAGGAAAAATGAAAACACACCTGCCACTAGGGGAGGCTCCAGGCTGGGGAAGCCCGGGCAGGGCGGGGCCTTGAGCCAAGTGAGCAGCTGGAGCGGAAACCTGTGAGTGAAGGGGAGGAGAGGAGCTTGACAAACTAACATCTTTAATTGTCCAGACACAGAGGGACCCAGGGATAGGAGTCTCTGCTAGGGAATTCGGGTGTAACGAAGGGCTTCAAGGGATCCTGTCAGTGTGACAAATGCCTTCATTCATTCATCAAGTATTACCCAGCCCCTACTTTGTTTCAGGCACTGCTCAAGGTGCCAGGACAGAGCATTGAAACGAAATTCCATAAAACAAAACTTGTTGGAGCTTTTTTTTAAAAAAAACACACAACTTTACTGTATTGATCTTTAGAGTGGGAGAGAGAGAGAGAAAGCAAAAGAGAGAAAGAGAGAGAGAGAGAGAAACACAAATGTGAGAGTGAAACATGTATATGAGAGAGAACCATTGATCGGTGGCTTCCTGCAGGTGTCCCAACTGGGAAGAGTACCCCAAACCTGGGCATATGCTCTAACCAGGAATTGAACCAGTGACCTTTCACAGGGGAGGACACTCCAACCCTGAGTCACACCAACCAGGGCTCCTGGGCCTTTTACTAGAGGAGAGTAGGGGAGGGTAAGCACTCACTGTGTATTACATCAGGTAACAGAGAATGAAAGCACAAACGTGAGGTGGCAGCAGAGTGTAGGAGGGGCTACAGTAAATGAGGCCAGAAAAGTCACATTTGAGCAAAAACATAAAGTGAGACGTGAGGGCGTGAGCGATGTGAAGATCTGAAAGGAAAAAGTGACACCCCCACCCATGATCTGGGAGTACTTTATGCCTCACTCCACCACGGAGGCCTTGCCACAATGTAGTATTGAACCCATGATAACATCAGGGGCACAGTGTAGTTTGCCTACATCTATATATACTAGAGGCCTGGTGCATGAATTTGTGCATGAGTGGGGTCCAGCCATCTGGCCCCAATCTGGGTGGTGGGGGCTAAATGGGGTCAGGGCTGGCCAGGGGGAGGGGCTGAAGGCAGTTGGCCAGCCCTGCCCTCTGGTCAAACTCCCAGTGGAACTCTCAGTCTAGGGGAGGATTTGCATATTAGGCTTTTATTATCTATCTATATATATATATAAAGAGCCAGTGGCCATATCAACTGAACAGGACCAAACAGGCTGAGTGGGGCAACCAGGCCAGCAGGGGGGTTAGTGAGGGATGACCAAACAACTGAGCAGCAGGCCTGTGTGGGGCAACCAGGCAAGCAGAGGGGGCAGTAAGGGGCAACCATGCTGGCAGAAGGGAGGCTGTTGGGGTGACCAGGCTGGCGGGAGGGGCAGTTGGGGGTGACTAAGTTGGCATGGGGGGACAGTTGAGGGCGACCAGGCCGACAGGCAGAGGTAGTTAAGGGTGATCAGGCTGGCAGGAGGACCAGTTAGGGGCAATCAGGCAGGCAGGAAGGTGAGCAGTTAGGAGCCAGCACTCCCAGATTGTGAGAGGAATATCCAACTGCCGGCCGTTGGACATCCCCCGAGGGGTCCTGGATCGGGGAAGGTTCAGGCTGGGCTGAGGGGACCCACCACTGTGCACGAATTTCATGCACCAGGCCTCTAGTATAGGATAAAAGCCTAAATGAACTTTACGACCGAAGGACCAGAAGGATCAAAATGACTGGTCGACCAATTGCTATGATGCATACTAACCACCAGGGGACAGATGCTCAACGCAGGAACTGTCCCCTGTGGTCAGTACACTCCCACAGCCAACCTCCCAGGGCTGACCAACCTCACCTGGTCCCTCCCCGCAGATGGCCAACCTCCCGTGGCCCCTCCCCCTGGCCAGCAGGCCCCTATCAGCGGGACTGGGTGAGACATCCCTGATCAGCCGTGATTGATGGCCAGGCCTAGGGATTCCACTGTGCATGAATTCATGCACCGGACCTCTAGTTTTAAACATAAGAAACATTGATAGAGTGAATGAGAAGCTTAGTGTTGTGACATTTTAAAAATAGTCTCCGGCCCGGCCTGTGTAGCTCAGTGGTTGATGTCCACCTATTAACCAGGAGGTCAGGGTTGGATCCCTGGTCAGGGCACATACCCAGATTATGTGCTCAGTCCCCAGTAGGGGGTGTGCAGGAGGCAGCTGGTCAATGATTCTTTCTCACCGCAGATGCTTCTATCTCTATCCCTTCCTCTCTCTCAAATCAATTAAAAAATATTTTATTTTTATATACTCGTATATTTGTATTGATTTCAGAGAGGGAGATAGAGCTAGAAACATCAATGAGAGACAAACATTGATTGGCTTCCTCCTGCACTCTCCCCTACTGGGGATCAAGCCCCAATTCTGGGCATGTGCCCTTTACCAGAACTGAACCCAGGACACCCAGTCTGCAGGCCAGTGCTCAATCCAGTGAGCCAAGCAGGCTAGGGATTATACATATATTTTAAAGAGCATGGACCATGGAGCTGAAGGGTCTGGGATTCAAACCTGGCTCTACCCTCACCTGCTGTGTGACCTTGACAAGGAGCCCTGCAGTTGGCAGCAAAGCTCTCCAGCCCACAGGCTTGGACAAATAAAGAAGTGCAATCACTTGTGTATTGAGGTGTGTGTGGTTATTTAATAGAGACCATCCTATGGCCTCCACTGGAAGCTGAATAAATGCTACTTCAATGTACATGACTCGTCCACAAAGGAAGGATGATAATGCCACGGTATAGATGAGGAAACTGAGGCCACAGAAGTAATTTGCTCAGTCACACCATGATTAAGAGGCAGGGTCAGAGTTGCACTCAAGTCACCTGATTGCCCTGGCTAAGCATTTTTAACTGAAAAGTGCTACTCAGAGTGATCACAGGGGAACAACCAGTGTAAATGTAAGAATATTTAATAATGAAAGACAGAGTAGGCCATTACTCAGGGATTTCACAAATACAAAAGAAACACGGGTGACAGAATCCAAAATTCTGCAGTAACCTCAGGACTTCCGGCTCTGTCACTGCCTCATCCCTGAGGGACCAGGCCTCTCCAGTGGAGAGATGCAGGAGTCACAGATTCATAGAATCTCATAGGAGACACAGAAGGCTCAAACCAGGGCGTGGGAACTGTCATGGAGACTCGGTTCTGGGCTGCTGGTACCCAGAGAAGTAGAGCCTCGCCCATGGTACGTGGGGTCAGCGTGCCCCGTGGACTCGGGACTCAAGTCTCTTCCTGCCACACAGGCCCCTGGCGGGTCTTCGGGCAATGCCTTCCACAGACATGTCCCTGCTTCCAGGGGACGCGCTGTCCTCTCCGGAAAAGTCCCCGCACTTCACGGTGCGCTCAGCGCAGGCATCCAGGTGAGGCCGGCGGCGGCGGCAGAGTCTCCTGAGCGCGGCGCCCACTGGCTGGAGACCTGCCTGGACCAGCGGGCAGCACAGAGCCCCGACCTAAGCCGCCCGCCTGCAGAGCCGCGGGTCCCGCCTCGCAGTCGGTCAGAGACAAGGCCCTGAGAGCGCCGCCAGCTTCAGGTCCCACGTGAGCAGGCGCAGGAGGTTGAAGATGATGGTGGCTTCGTGGCACCGAGGCGAGTCCTGGAACCCGGGAAGGAAGCGAAGCGGAGCTGAGGCAGCGATTTCCTCATCGAGGGACCCTCGGCTCCTGGCCGCTCCACCACACGCGACCCCCCCCCCCATCCCCGCACCCA